TGTGACTAATGGTGGAATAATTATGGGAGCACAGATATCTCTTCAAGATCTTGCTTTCAAGAAGTGGATCATATGATAGTTCTGTTTTTAAGCTCAAGTTATTTTTTTGAGGAATCTTTATATTCTTTTTTTGTAATGCTTGTGCCAATTGACATTGCCACCAACAGTGTTCAAGAGTTCTGGTTTTTCTACCATTATGCCCACATTTGTCTTTGTTTTTATAACAATAACCATCCTGACAGTTATGGGGTGATATTACATCATGGTTTTGGTTAGTATTTTCCTGATGATTACTGATTATGAGAATTTTTTCATGTACACATTGACTATTTGTATATCTTCTGGAAGGAATAAATAAATCTTAAAAAGGGAGGGAATTCTGTTGAACAATATAACAGAGATAGAACTTGAAAACATTAAGCCAAGTAAAATGAACCAGCTGCAGAAAGACAAATCCTGTATTATTCCACTTATCTGAATATCTAAAATAGTCAAATCCATAGTCAATAACTGTAATACTAGTTCCCAGATCAGGGAGGATTATTTACCAACAGGTGCAAAATTTTGGTTAAGTAACATGATGAGGTTCTGGAGATCTACTCTGCAATACTGTATCTAAAGTCAACAATAATGCATTTTACTTGTGAAATGTGTTAAGATAATAGATGTCATATTAGGTGTTGTTATAAAGCAAAAGAAAATTGTTTTCAGAATATTAAGGAAAAGACTAAAGACCATCACATAATTGAATGTTGTGTGCATGACATTTATATTACAGGTATACAAATTGGGAAGGAAGAAATCAAACTATCCCTCTTTGCAGATAACATGATTCTTTATTTAGGGGATCCAAAAACTCTACTATTGACTAATGAAATTCACAGAAGAGTTTGGCAAAGTAGTAGGATATAAAATCAATGCACAAAAATCAACAGCCTTTATATACACAGAAAATGCCATGGCTGAGAAAGTCTGCTAAGATCAATCCCATTCACAATAGCTACAAAAACAATCAAATACCTTGGAATAAACTTAACCAAGGATGTCAAAGATCTCTACGATGAGAATTACAAAACCTTTTTTTTCCAAAAAAATTTAAAAATCTTCCATGCTCATGGATTGGAAGAATCAATATCATCAAAATGTCCATTCTCCCAAAAGCAATTTATAGATTCAATGTGATATCAATCAAAATACCAAAGACATTCTTCTCAGATCCGGAAAAAAATGATGCTGAAATTCATATGGAGGCACAGGAGAACTCGAATAGCTAAAGCAATCTTGTACAACAAAAACAAAGCTGGAGGCATCACAATACCAGATTTCAGGACATACTACAGGGCAGTTGTTATCAAAACAGCATGGCACTGGTACAGAAACAGATGGATAGACCAATGGAACAGAATAGAAACACCAGAAATCAGTCCAAACATCTACAGCCAACTTATATTTGATCAAGGATCCAAAACCAATTCCTGGAGTAAGGACAATCTGTTCAACAAATGGTGCTGGGAAAACTGAATTTTCACATGCAGAAGCATGAAGCAAGAACCCTACCTTACACCTTACACAAAAGTCCTCTCAACATGGATTAAAGATCTAAACCTACAACCCGGCACCATCAAATTATTAGAGAACATCAAAGAAACCCTGCAAGATATAAGCACAGGCAAAGACCTCTATAATCCAAAAGTGGAATTTTGGAAATTTATATTTATTAAATAAAAGTTGAAAAAAAAGAAAAAAAAAGAACAGATTTTTTTTTTTTCTGCCAATTAGATCTTAAATTTCTGTAAGTAACAAAATTCCCGAGCCATGAAGGGCATCTTAGTTACCATTTATTTTTAAATGATACCAATCTAAACTACTTTTTTGTTATATGATACAATTTGAGAGAACACACAATATGCACCACTATTAGTGTGCCTGGGTGCAACATTTCTAGCATTGTCCAGCCAAAAGTATTTTATCTCATAAAACAGAGAAAGTACAAACAAGGTAAAAGGAAAGGACCGCATCTACAAGATCAACAATGTCATTCTTTTAATCAAAAGAATACAAAGTCAGCTGGATGGATACAGAATGAGCAATTCCTACCACCTCCACTGCTCTCCGAGAAAAGGGGCTAACACCAGATTTACCTGACCCTTGTAATGAGTATTTGATGCCATGGGCCTGTTTCAGGTAAAGACTGATCATCTGGGGCCCACTATGCAGTCCACCAAGGATCCTGAAGGTATGTGTGTGTGTGTGTGTGTGTGTGTGTGTATATATATATGATTACTCTCAAGAAGAAGGAAAATTTAACAACCCCCGTTAACCTCATGGAGAAAGACTTGTATCTGGAATTAAATTGTAATCCTTACTGCAGGGCTTGCTGAGTAGGATTAATGGAGTTTTCCTTGTATTCTTCAGTGCTCTTGGCTCTTAAAGAATTTCTGTTCTAAAGAACCATAAAATCTTTCCTCCATAGTCAGTGTTCCCACTTCCATTATCTCCAGGAGCTCTTTTCAAGAACTTACCTGGGACGCTGTATTAACCTTTAAATTTCTCACAGCTTTCTTTGATTTCTACTGCAGTTTTCCTTTTTTTTTTTTTTTTTTTAAATTTAAAGACTTCTTTAGAGTAGTTTTAGTTTCGTAGCAAAACTGGGAGGAAGGTACAAAGTTCCATACATTTGCTGTCACCGCACATGCACAGCCACCACATTATTAATATCCTCCCCAGGGCAGAATATTTGCTACAACTGATGAATCTGCTTTGACATATCATTATCACCCAAGGGCCAGAGTTCACACCAGGAGCCTGGGTAAACGCATAATGGTATTTAAACTAACTGCTAGATCCCCTCATATCTTTCCTCTGTATAAGATTACTCAGCACATGCTGCTTCTAGAATTAGCACTGGGACAGCTTCTCTGCTTATGGATTGGGTTATGCTACACAACTAGAGTCTGCTGAAAGTGCAGTCACAACTTGGTGGCTCAACTGGTCCAGGATCATCCAGGGATCCCTAAAACCACTGCATGTCTCCATGTTGGCACAACAGGGTTCTATGGCCTATACTGACTCATGCCATGTTTAGCCCAAATTATAATACATCCTTCCGTGTATACAAATTCTACAGCTCTCTCAAAGACTTCAAGACTGATTTCAAGACTTCATGGCTATATAAAAACTTTCTTAACTACACGCAGTTTCTTCAAAAATTCAGAGAAAGGGTATATTATGAAAATACACAGATATAAAAATTTCTTGCATCAAAATAAGTATCTTCTAATTCCTTTTTGTACCAACTTTTAAAGTATCCTTATATAACCCTTGTAGATTTCCTGCTCATCTGATCCCTCAAAATCTGCAATAAATGCTACACAGGTATTATGCATTCAAACATTCCCTCTTGATTTCTTAAAGGCAGAGAGAGATTCACTCATTCATTTATTCATTCTTTTAGTCAGTTATCCAATGTTTATAAAAATTATATAAAAGTCACTGTCACAGATGACAAAGACAACAGGTAAATTTCTATTCCAAATAAGAACAATATATATCTATTTTTGAGTAACTTGTTGGTAACTAGGGAATAAGGAAGCCTTTTAATTTTTTATAATTATGATACAAATAAAAGGCTATGTATAGTAAATAGGTCATATTTAAAGTTGTGTTTTTCAGGCTACCTTATATTGGCCCAGCAGCTTAAGCCACTGGCTGGGATGCCTGCATCTCATATTGGAAAGCCTGTGTTACAGTACCAGGTTCACTCACAAGTTCAGCTTCTTGATAATGCACACCTGGGAGAGGTAGCAAATGCTGGCTCAAGTACTTGGTCTGCCACTCAAATGGGAAACCTGGATTGAATTCCCATTTTTTTTTCTTTTCTTTTTTTTTTTTTTAGAGTTGCAGACAGTGAGAGGGAGAGAGAGAGAGACAGAAAGGTCTTCCTTCCCTTGGTTCACTCCCCAAATGGCCACATCGGCTGGAGCTATGCCAATCCAAAGCCAGGTGCTTCCTCCTAGTCTCCCATGTGGGTGTAGGGGCCCAAGCACCTGGGCCATCCTCCACTGCCTTCCTGGGCCACAGCAGAGAGCTGGACTGGAAGAGGAGCAGCCGGGACTAGAAACAGCGCCCATGTGGGATGCTGGCGCCGCAGGTGAAGGATTAACCTACTGTACCATTGCGCCGGCCTCTGGATTGAATTCCTGGCTCCCAACATCAGCCTGGCTCAACCCCAGACATTATGCATATTTGGGGAGTGAACCAGAGTCTCTGTCCCAGTATCTAAACTAAAAAATAAAATAAAATTAAATTAAAAAATTGTATTTTCAAAAAGAGACAAAGTAAACTTTAGACTTATACCAGAATAAGGTTCAGCCATATTTGAGAGACAGGACATAGAAGGAAAAAGAAAAATAAAAGAGGAAAACAATAAATGTATGAGGAGACTTCATAAAGAGTTTGAGGAGAATGAAATTAAAAGACGAATTTATTTTGGTACAGAAAGTTTGAAATCCATGCCTAGGTTTCCCATAACATACATTTTTCCATGAGTATTTTGAAGACCCCTTGTATGGCTTTGTTGCATGAAAAAGTAAAGTGTGCAGAGAAGGCAGAAAACTGTAGTCCATAGGCTGACAATGATGTAGAAAAGAAATTTTATTGATGCATAAATATAAACAACCATGAAAACATTCAGTTCTCTCCACACTCCGAGGAGTCATTAAGTTATATAACAGCAGACAAAGATCATCATTTAATTTCATGGATCAGGTTTGAATGGAAGGAATAGTGACAATAGAGACAATAGCAAGAAGCCCCACGTAGAAATTCACCCAACAGATATTGATGAGTCAAAGCTCTTTTAAAGAAAAACAGATGCATATGCAAAAAATAGCCTAAGAACTGTAAAATCCACTCTCCTAATTTTTGTTTCTAGTCAATTTATTTTAAAGCATTTAAGAGAGCAGTCCATTTAGAAATTGGGAATTCCTTGGGTTCTTTACCTTTTTGTAGATCAATCCAATTACAGCTGTTTTGATTTTGGCAGAGGTGAGCATGTTGAAACGCTGATATTGCTGAAGAACCAGGGTTTGCAAAAAGACGACAGCAAAAAGTGCCACCGCATAGCCATAGCCACTCCAGCCAAAATCTGAAGTGTGTTCACAGAAAATGATCATTTGCCTGAATGTCAGAAAAATTGAGACAAGGGAAGAAATGTTAAACATCTGAAAGAGGTTACACGTTAATGGGAGGTAACTATTGTCAAAATGTTAGGCAAACGCACGCGCGCTCACACACACACACACACACACAAATCCCTATGTGTGTTTTTTTTTCTACTTGTTCAATTTGGATCTTTTTCCATTTTATTTTTAATTCAAGCATTAGACAATCAAGTAAATGAAATTAACTATTATTTTCACAGGTGTAGGTGAGGATTATTTCTTTTTTTTAACTTTTATTTAATGAATATAAATTTCCAAAGTACAGCTTATGGATTACAATGGCTTGCCCCCCATAACGTCCCTCCCACCCGCAACCTTGGTTTTCATACGATTATCTCATTAAATAGCTAACTCTTTTGATTTAATGTATAACTTAAGACAGAAATATTTAAAGCTTCTTGTTTTTCATAATCATTCATTTTGTTAAATATAGGGAAACACGACAATCAGAACTTAAAGAGGTGACCTCTAATGAGAGTGGAAAAATTTAATTTTTTTGAAAATTTATGTTTTACCTTTTGAGATTTCTTTTTTTATTTGGGAAGCAGGGAAAGAGTAAGAGGAGAAACAGAGCAAGAGAGAGAGTGAAAGAGCAAGAGAGAAAGAAGGGAGAGAGGAGAGATACAGAGAGAGAAAGGGCTAGGGCTGGGCTAGTACAAAACAGGAACCAGGAACTCCAGTCAGGAATTCAATCTAGGTCTCCCAGGTGGGTGGCAGGAACACAATTACATGAGTCATCATCCCTGGTTCCCACGGTTGGCATTAGCAGGAAGCTGGAGTCAGGAGCAGGAGCTGGAGCTGGAGCCAGGAATCAACTCTAGTTTTACACCAATGTGGGATGCAAGCATCTTGGCTTAACCTTCATCTTAACGGCAATACTAAATAAAAGCCCACCCCTACCTTTCACTTTTTATCATTATTTTAACCATATCCAACTTCTCTCTACTTTCCTAATTTCCTTGTAGGTTTGCAGATCACATGGTCACAACAATTAGGATCCATAGTGGATACACAAATGAGGATGTTTCTAATCAGAATTTCCTTGGTTTCTTATTGACTCTCAGTTATAAATATTGATTAAAATACAGAACTCCTGATATGCATTGTTAACTAAATTTTACATGTGCTCTCTTAAAACTGCATCTAAATGATTGAAAATAATTATAATTCTAAAACTGCACATCTCTGGCTTTATACTCTACATTTATATACCATAAATTAATGTCATTTATTTTGTAGACTTATAGCTCTTATTTATAGTTTATTTAACTATAGTTTATTTAGCCGCCTGCAGTGCCAGCATCCCATATGGGTGCCAGTTCAAGTCCCAACTGCTCTACTTCCGATCCAGCTCTCTGCTATGGCCTGGGAAGGCAATAGAGGATGGCTCAAGTCCTTGGGCCCCTGCACCTGCGTGAGAGACCCAGAAGAAGCTCCTGGCTCCTGGCTTTGGATTAGTGCAACTCCAGCTATCGCAATCAATGAGGAGTCAAACAGTGGATGGAAGACCTCTCTCTCTCTCTCTCTCTGTCTCTCCTTCTCTCTATGTGTAACTCTGACTTTCAAATTAAATGTATATATATATATATTTCAAATTAAATATATATATTTCAAATTATATATATATATATATATATATATATATATATATATATATATAAAATGCTCCACTTCTGATCCAGCTCTCTGCTATGGCCTGGGCAAGCAGTGGAAGATGGCCCATGTCCTTGGGCCCCTGCACCCATGTGGGAGACCTGGAAGAAGCTCCTTGCTCCTGGCTTCGGATCAGTTCAGCTCTGGCAGTTGCGGCCATTTGGGGCATGAACCATCGGATGGAAGATTCTCTCTCTCTCTCTCTCTCTTTCTCTCTCTCTGCCTCTGCCTCTCTGAAATTCCGCCTTTCAAATAAAGAAATAAATTTTTAAAAAGACTATATATACTGTAAATTTTTTCTTGATGAATACTGAATTACATAGCTCATTCTTATAAAAATATATATTTTTAAAGTTGCAATTAAAATAAATTTCTATGCTTTGATATGTTTTATCGGCAGTTTGAACACACAGATAATGTGTAAACAATCAAAAGCAATTTTGGCTGCCAAAATGCCTTGTCAACTAAGTATTTAAAAATCTTTAAAACATCTTCCAAAAAGTATTTTATTAAAATCGGATTTTAGAATCCACTATACACCAGTGTTGCTTAACCTAATATTAAAACCTCTAGAAATTATTTGGAGCACTGTATATCCTTAGTGACACCATTAATTTATGCCACAGACATATTAAGAACAGGAGGTTCTGTATTTCTTAAAAGATTTATTTATTTTATTTGAAAGACAGAGTGACAGAGGATAAGAGACACAAAGAAACCTTCCATCCATTGGTTCATGCCTCAAAAGACCACAACAGCCTGCAATGTACCAGACCCGAGGCAGGAGCCAAAAACTCCTGAGTCTCCCATGTAGGTGGCAGGGTCCCAAGCACTTTGGAAGCATTTGCAGGGGTTGAGGATGTGGGGGAACCTAGGGTGGGGATGGATTGGACTCCAAGTATAGCAGCCCTGTCTTGAACTGGCGCTTCTATAGGCCAGCAGTAGCAAGCATTGGCTTAACCTGCTGCACACAACTCCAGCCCTGGTTCTGCATTTCTTAATTGATTTCTAGGAAATGCCATACATTGGGACACGGCATCATTTTTACAAAAGTAACTTACTAAATGAACTTCAGAGTCTTGGAGTTTAATTTTCTGAAAGCAGAGTGCTATTGTCACCACTGAGGATGTATCTATCAGTAGCCTTTTGATTTGCTCATACACACAACCAACCAACTGCTTATCAGCAGGTACCAGGTGATTCTACACATACTAATCAGGAAATACTAAAAATAGCCTTTTTCCAGGTATAGGAAAGACCATCAAACTATGCTGATGCATCAGACATAGATTCTATTTTGTTTGATTGATACTAGAATAAAATCCAAAAGGGAGGAAAAGAGCAAACACAGTAATCAAACAAATATCTCTTCTGCTAATAAATTAATGAAAGTAATATTTTATAATAATTTCCTTTTATCTTTGGTTTCACTTTTTGAAGTTTCGGGTATGCATAGTCAACCATAGTCTGAAAGCAGTAAATGAAAAATTTTATAAATACTTCATAAGGTTAAAATAAGTTCTGTTAGCTCATTGTTATAATTGTCCTCTTTTTAAATAAGTTGTGCTTATTAATCTCTGTGTTTAGTTTATAAATTCAGATTTTTTATAGGTATGTATGTATGTATGTACAGAAAAAAAGTGAATATATAAAAGATTTGGTACTACCTGTGATTTTAGGCATCCACTAAGGGTATTGAAATGTATCCCTTGCAGATAAGGGGAACTATTGCATATGTTTGATTACACATGAGCCATAAGAATGTGATGATGTCCTCTCAATCTTGAATATATTCCTCTAACAACTTTTCCTTTTCCAACTGAAAAAAAGCTTATGTCTCAAAACCATCTTATAAAGTAAACTGCTACATGCTGAAATTATGGGCCTGCAAACTCATAAAATGCCTTCAGATTGCCCAATTGTTCCTTAATATGGAAATTCTAAGGCTATTCAGCTACTCTATAGGGTCTCTTGGAAAAGCATAACTTTGGATGAGTACATTTATTCAATATTCTACTGAGGAAATATGTTCATGTTCTATGAATATGTGGTAGGCTTTGTGCTGGGAGCTAAGGACACTAACACCGAACCACATGAGGACTTTACTTGCAAGAACTCCTCATCAGCTAGTCGTCTAGGCAAGGAGAAAGACATGTCAACTGACTCAGCATGGAAATCACTGTTTTGCAAGTCTGACCAAACAAGTGTGTTGCAAAAATGTGTTGCAAACTTAGAGAAACCATTCTCCAACCCACATATAATCTGTGATACTAGATACTACAAATTTGGGCAGAACATTGAGACACTGAATCGTTAGGACATACTGCTATTTTAAGAACAACAGTGGCAACAGTGGAATTTTCTGATGAGTTTCTGGAGCATTAGTGTTGGTCAATGTAAATCAGAATGTCTAAAAATGGTTGAGCATGTTTTGCTACTACTCCCCTTGAGAAACTGAATTTCATGCCTTTAATTTGAATGCAGACTGACCTAGGGATTTGGTTGAGTAAAACAATGTAGTAGAAGTAGCATTCTTGGATTTAAAGTCTACACATAAAAAGATTTGTCTGAGCATCCTGGAATATTCACTCTAAGGAAATTTGATTACCATGTAAGAAGTCCAACTACCTGGAGACTTCTATGCTTAATGTAACCATTCAGAGAGATTTGGGGAAGAACAAAGAGGGAGTAGTATCAGACCATTTTCACCAGTGTTAACAGAGGCAAAGGCATGTAAGCTAGGAAGCGACCTTGGACATTCCAGCATGGAAACATGTGAAGAACCACAGTGATCCAGCCAACTGGCAGAGCCACGCAACAAAACTTATGGCTCCATTTGAGATGCTACAGCTGTCTCCAGCTGTTCAAGATAATTCACAATCATTGTGAAGCAGAGAAAAAGCAATCCCTGTCTGACTCCCCAAATCAAGCTTGTGGTTTGATTCCGCCGAGTTTTGACATGGTTCATTTTGCAGCATTAGAAACCTCAATAGAGCAGGAAGGGAAGGTGCTGGTCAATGCTTCTAACACACAGAATTCTGATAACACATCAGATAACCCTATGGTGGTGATCTGAAATGAGGGCAGAAGCAAGAGGAAATAGAGATCTATTATCTTGTCTGGGGGTGGGGAGGTTAATCTGAGAGTTGGTATAGGAAAGGAAGCCTAATTGGAATTGGGGTGAAAATGACCACACAGTTTTCTAACAATGCATATCTTGTCTTGTTTTAAATGCCATTGTTCCCTTGGAGAGAGTCTTTCTGCATAATCCAGTCCTCCTTAATATCCTTCGACAGCTTTCCC